GAGAGAGAGAGAGAAGCTGGATAGCTTTAGGCACCACTGCTTGTTTTTAAAGAAGCAGTTTGTGGAGAGGTCATTTCCTGTCCACACTGTAGACTAGTTCACAAATATAATTCTCCTCACAGTCTGACAAGAGGTCTAAGGTTTGGTTTTAATTTTTTTCCTCCAGCCAGGACCCTTGGCAGCCTGATTGCTAAGCCTGTTAGCATAGAGGTGGTCTAACCGCTGCACGAGCCTCTCACCCCTGACAACCACACTGTTGTAATGTATCAGAAATGTTGATTACTACAAAATACAGAAACATGGGCACTGTGGTGCCCCGAATTGGGGCCACTAATTCACTCACGTGCAGAGATTTATTTCTGCACTAATCTCCCTACGTAGTTTTGCTTTACTTGCTGTTGTTCCAAGGGCTGCTATATTCTTTGCCCTCCACTCCATCTCACCCCCATGTCTCCCCACTCACCCCTCTTTCCAGCCACCTCCCTCTTCTCCCAAGACTTGATTCAGGCCCGTAAGGTGCCTGGGCATTTTCAGGTAAAAACAATCGTTCTGAATGTGGAATGCAGAAAATACACTTAAGGAGAGCAATGGTCTTTTTTCCTAGGAAGGAAAAAAACAAAACAAAACAAAACAAAACCCCAAAGCAGACCTCCCAATAAGACAGGAAAAGCAAAAAAGGAGAAAACTGCCACAAAAATGACCATGGAAAATTCAGTTGAGTAGGAAATTGCAAATAATTTAATGGATCATCCCCAGATAACATGTCCAACTCTTGTGGAGACAAAGTCTATATTTTCCAAGATTGGTCAAGTAAACAAATCTTTTCCCAACTGTGGTATATGATAACTATAAGAAACCCCAACAGCCCATGGAAGGGGGAAGAATCTCTATAGAGAATTAAGCGTTCTATAAAATAATCAAATTCTGCTAGAACCAACCATAACCAGAGATACGATACTTAAACAAAGCTCAGCCACAGAAAATGTAAATGTATTGAGCTAACACCTAGGTAGGTCAGTGGTATTAAGGAAATAAAGCAAACGACCACCAAAAAGCATGATGAATTCAAGACCTGAATGCAAATGCATGCAAATGAGACATTTCTTCTTTTTAATAAGCAGATTAATTAACTTTCTGCCCCAATCATGGCTTGGGTATCTCCAAGTCACTAGCCAACAGGGGATAAGGTATTGCTAATTCTGCAATTTACACTCTTAAAAATACTCAGACACAGAAAAGTGTATTGCTGTCTTGATCAGTCCTTCTTCATAATTGCATGAAATATTTGCTGAGTCTACCCCAAACTTCCAGCAGCGCAGCCCAACACACTAATGTAGCCTGCCAGGATGAGATTAGGGTAGGTATTACACTAAGGCTGCTTGGAACTTGCGCTAGGAGACCCCAAGGCAGGCGAGAATGCTTGGTTTCAGGTTTCATTACAAATCCAAAAGCTGGACCAAATTTGCTGCAAGGTTTGTCAAAACACACAACCTTCTAAAGACAGGATTTCAAACAATTTTGGCATGATTTATGTTTTGGTATGGCAGCCAGTGCAAAACCTAACGGTTCCTTATGTTTAAATTCCCAAACTAAAGACATTCTGAGAGTTTAGTGTCTGCCTGAGTTTGTGCAAGAATGAAAGTAACACCTAGGCAGGCGTGTGCAGGCCAATACTAGTAAAAAAAAAAAAAAGAAACAGTTCAAAAATCCATTTAGGAAGGCAATCCCTCTCCGAATAAGGTTCCGGTTTGCTCTCATTTGTTTCTGCAGACCACTGCAAATTATAATTGGAAATATTTCTTGCCCTTAATAGCAAAAGACTCATTTCAGAACTATCTGAAACTTGATAATGCTGATCCATATCCCTGATTCTCATCCCTGCTACTTCAGGAGTCTCCGAACGGGTCCCCCTGCCCACAGATTCACAGGTCTCTTCTAACTTGTGGTCTGTCCTTATTCAAATCAGAATGCGGATTTCAAATAAGTGAAAGCGATCATGTCCCATGTTTTCCCCCTCAGTGTTTCCTGGCTGCCAGCAGGAAAATGTGCAACTTCCTTAGGAACACGGCATAGAGGGCTCGGTAAGACCCACACTTCTGTGCTCTCTCTTTCTCCCGCTGTCACACACACAAACACACACACACGCTCATTCATTTACTCATTTGTCTGTCCATTCATTTATTTATTTGCTATACTTGATCTTCCTAAACTTACAATCTTTCTCATGCATGGCCACATTTGTACTTCTGTCCCTAGCTTACCTACAAACTGCTACTTATCCTTCTATTCAATTAAATTGTCTCCTCCATAAGCCTTTTTAAATTACACATTCATTTGTTTATTTATTCAACAGATATTCCATTCACAGTGGATAGAGGCAGAGCCAACAGCATGGCCAGAGCACATTTCAACCCTAGCTCCATGTCCTAGTTGTTGCGTGAACCTGAGCAAACGACTCAGTCTCTCTGCACCTCAGTTATCTCAGTGCAAGATAAGGACAATGATAGAAACTAGTCTATAAGATTGTTGATAAGGATTAGCAAATACATCCAAATGCATTAGAACCCTCTCACCTAAACGCTCAAATAATAACACGATAGGCTGGGCGCGGTGCCTCACGCCTGTAATCCCAGCACTTTGGGAGGCCGAGGCGGGCAGATCATGAGGTCAGGAGTTTGAGACCAACCTGACCAACATGGTGAAACCCTGTCTCTACTAAATATACAAAAATTAGCCTGGTGTGGTGGCACACGCCTGCCTAGCTACTCAGGAGGCTGAGGCAGGAGAATCGCTTGAACCTGGGAAGCGGAGGTTGCAGTGAGCTGAAATCACACCACTTCACTCCATCCCAGGCGACAGAGCAAGACTGTCTCAAATAATAATAAAAATAATAACAACAACATGATTATTAGGTACCTAATATCTGCTTAGGTCCTAGGGATCATTGGGAGGCCAAGGTGATGTAGCACACAGGCTACCTGCCTTCCTGCCCCTTGCCATCTAGTGAGGGCAAGGAAAAGACAGCGTAGAAGAGCTAGTAAATATTTGGGAACATAATTTTAAACTATAGTGCATGCTCTGTTGGAAATAAATAAAATAAAAAGAAGAGATAAAAAAATATTCCCCCCTTGGTATCATCAGTGTAGTTTCTATATTCTTCTATTAGAGGACTTATATTAATACATAAAAGGAACAAATACTGTCACTTGTTCAGCACTTGCTATGTGCCAGCCACTGTGCTGAGTGGTCTACACAATTACTCTTAGTTAATCTCACAATAAATCTATGGAATTGATTTGATTACTATTCCCATTTTACCTAACCGGAAACTGAAGCTATGAGAGGCTAAGAAAGTTCTTTGAAGTCATGCAACAAATAAGTGACAAGAGACAAGATTCACATCCAGTTTGCCTGACTGCTTGCATCTTAAGAATTTTGCTGCTCAGAGGTCAGGTCCATCCTCACCTCGAGGGCGTTTCTGTTCTTTGTCCCTGGTGGCCAGCATGGTGCTGAGCCCATAGTAGGTGCTCAGGACACATGGACCTGACTAAATGGAAGAAGCATCAAAGGATAAAGTGGCTCCCCTCACTTGGATTTTATTCTTCGTGGTCTTGCTTAGTTTCAGACACTCAATGCCCCCTGCCTCGCTCCGACCCCCGCCCCTGAAGCCCTGCCCTGCCAAATCACCACTCCCATCTTTGTTATTGTCCCAAATCTCCTAGCACAGATTCCTAAATCCACAAGCTAGGAGTTGAATCCTTTGCACCACTAGGTTACCTGGTTGTCTTTGTCATTCATCTGTTTGTCTTCTTTCTTGCTTCTTGAAGGACCAGATCTTCTTCTGGGTCATGTATGAGCTAAGAAGTGAAGAAAACAAAGTGCGCATTTTAAGATTGTAAATCAGCTCCTTCAGAAAATCATAGAGAATTGCAAGTATGCAGTATTTGTACCCTAGCAAAGAATAAACAAGTCTAACCCCCAACACAACAGTTCTATTACCCCCAAAGATTAAGCCATGTTCATTTACACATCATTTTGTGTGTTGAGTATGAATGAGTTCCCAAAGTCCTCCTGCGGACGTTCAAGGTGCTCTAAAAGCTGGCCTGCCCTTTATACTCGGGACCTCATTTAGCTACATTCACCGTAGGTTTAACCCACAGAGTGATTATTGTTCATTTAAGCAGAAATTCTTACCCACAGTTTAAAAAGTGAAGAATTGGCCGGATGCGGTGGCTCACGCCTGTAATCCCAACACTTTGGGAGGCCAAGGCGGGCAGACCACGAGGTCAGGAGATGGAGACCATCCTGGCTAACACAGTGAAACCCCATCTCTACTAAAAATACAAAAAAACAAGCCAGGCGTGGTGGCGGGTGCCTGTAGTCCCAGCTACTCGGGAAGCTGAGGCAGGAGAATGGCGTGAACCCGGGAGGTGGAGGTTGTAGTGAGCCGAGATCACACCACTGCACTCCAGCCTGGGAGACAGAGCACGACTCTGTCTCAAAAAAAAAAAAAAAAAAAGTGAAGAATTTCACATACAGTCCAGATTTTCATCTTCTCTGAAAAATTATAAGCTCTGACCATCCTTGGCCCCATCCCTGCTGCATGGCAATGTGCAGCGGGGCCAGCGTCTTTGTGCTTGTCTGTTCACCATGGTCTCTGTCACTCTACAGCCGTCCCCTCCAACGCCCCTAATTTCCATTTACCTGCCTGGTTCTTCCAAGTATTTGAAACATTGTTTTTTTTCTTAATCTATCAATTGCATCCTTTCCAAATCCTTCATCCAAGCACTGTTTGCTTCACCCAGTCAGTTTTCTTACCACTCTTCAATTCCCCTTCTCTACCCTTCCTTACCTATTTCTTTCTTTCCCTTTTTTTCTTTTTCTTTTT